CATCCCCAGCTGGTGGGTGGTTCTGCCCGCCAGCTGGTGTGCCGTGGCACAGAGCACTGGGCTGTGCACAGGGTTTCTGGAAGCTTCTCTTCCAGCTCTGGGCTGAGATTTCAACATTATACCATCAGCCTTGGAGACAGCTCTAGGCTGTCTGTACTATAGGTAAAAAAGTCAGGCTGAAAGGAACCCCCTGTGTAGATGGAGGAGGGAGGATGGTGTTGGTTGGGGTGCAGGCTGAGCCCTGCACAAGGCAGTGCTCTTGTTCTGTTTCAGGCTGACACCTCTGCAGGCTGAGCTGTACAAGAACTTCCTGAAGCAAGCCAAGCCAGTGGAGGAGCTGAAGGAGGGCAAAATCACTGTGTCATCTCTCTCTTCCATCACTTCCCTGAAGAAGCTCTGCAATCGTGAGTTGCTCCGCTCATGCAATGGGTTTGGGTTTTGCACTGCTGGTGGGTTTATTTGGGTCTCCCCTGTGCACTCCACAGTCTCTGAGCACTGTTTGTTCTCCAGACCCTGCTCTCATCCATGATAAGTGTGTGGAACAGGAAGAAGGTTTCATGGGAGCCCTGGACTTGTTCCCTGCTGGCTACACCACCAAGTCTGTGGAGCCCCAGCTTTCAGGTACTGTGGAACTCAACAGTACAAATATGCTGCCTAACACAAGGCAACCATGGGACTATACTTGGCATCTTATCAAGTGTCCCTCCATGGTTTGGAATTTGGGAGCTTCTGCCCTAGCTTTCTTCTGTCTTTCTTTTTTATCTAGGAAAGATGCTAGTTTTGGACTACATCCTCGCTGTTACAAAAAGCACCAGTAATGACAAGGTGGTTTTAGTGTCTAACTACACTCAGACGCTGGACCTATTTGAAAAGCTCTGCAGGAACAGGAGGTTTGTCTTTGGGCTTCATTTGTTTAATCCTGCAAGACTGTACTTGTAGCCTACACTGTAAAAGAAACTGGCTATTTTTAAAGTTTCTATTGGCAGGAACTTGTGATCTGTCTTTTACCTCAGATGTTCCTGAACTGGAACTAACGTGGCTTGTGCTTTGACTGCTGAGGTCACTCAGCAGAAAAGCTCTGGCCCTCTGCAAAAGCTCATGAATCCCGTGTTCTTCTAACGAGGCTGTTCGTGAAAGGTTTTTCTCTTCCAAGTGGGATGCTCTGAAGGTCTGAGCGGGCTGGTTGCAGTACGTGCCGTTTGTTCTAGGTACCTGTATGTCCGTCTGGACGGCACCATGTCCATTAAGAAGAGAGCGAAGATCCCCTCAGTGAGTAGAACCTGCCAGCTGGGAGCAGCTCTCCCGCCAGCTCTGAACGCTGCGAGGAGGAGCGTGGCTGCCTCTGCAGTTTAACCCAAGCCTGCCTTTTCCCCCAGAGCCCCGAGTTCATCTTCATGTTAAGCAGCAAAGCGGGTGGCTGCGGTTTGAATTTGATCGGGGCCAACCGGCTGGTCATGTTCGACCCGGACTGGAACCCGGCGAACGACGAGCAGGCCATGGCCCGCGTCTGGCGCGACGGCCAGAGGAAGACCTGCTACATCTACCGCCTGCTTTCAGTGAGTCTGGCTCCTCCCACCTCCTCCACACAGTGCTCTGTGCCAGCCCAGGCTGTAGCTGCTGTGATTAGGATCAGAAGCTGGGTGGGAGGAGACAGCTTGTAATGGGACTTTCCACAGCACTCCCAGGCTATAGCAAATTCAGAGAATTTGGAGACCAATTTGTGTTTCTGACCAGAATTGATTAGAGTTTAATTGCTTCTTACGCTTAGATGCGTTGCTGTGGAAAACCATAAAGTTTCAAGCTGGAGGGTCATTATTACAGGCCTTGGTTTCTAATGGTGTCTGGCTTCTGAGATAGAGAAACAGCTGTGGCTTTCCAGATAAGATGATCCTTTGAAGTCATTTAGGCATCTGACTTCTTTAATTTTGGGCTGTGTCTGATACTGAAGTTGCTGGTCTTCAGTCTGGCTGCAGTCTGTTTTGGTTGGGTGTACATGTACTTAGTAAACAGCAAGTACATTCCCAGAATTACAGCAGATTTCGAAATGGGCCTACCAGGTAGCAGAAAGGGGTAGCTTCTCTGAAGGAAGAGCACAAAGGAGACTGCTCTGTGGAGGCTGTTGTCCCCCTTTGTCTAGCAGTGTCAGTTGTGATTACTGCTCAGAAGCATCCCCTCTCTGCTCTTCTTCACTTTCACTACTCGTTAGTGCAGACTGTGGGTTGGTTTGGTTTGGGTTTGGGTTTTTGTTGTGTGCTTTGGCAGGGGAGGGGATGTTGTGTGTGTAAACTTGTGCTCCTTGACCAGTTATTATTTTACTTTGACAAAACAGGTGTTCTTTGCCTATCTCTTCTTTGTGTTTTACTTTCTCTGACCTGGCTGCACCTGGAGGTCCTTTGCTTTTAGAACTAGGAAACCAGTCTGCAAATCATGACTATTCACCCACCTCCTTTGTATTACGTTTGTTTGCAAAACAAACATTTTGCTTTTAGATTTTTGCCTTAAAAATGTAGCATATTAGGCATTCTGTGTATCTGTTCTAGAAGCAGTCATCTCCCTCCAGACAGTGGGTGTGATTGATTTGTGCGGGTGAACCAGCAAATATTGTTGATGCTTGTGTCACCCAGGGCTAGCCCTTATTGCTGGTTTTTAGGGGAGCTTGTGTTTGTTGTCCTGTTCTTTGGTTGTTTGGTTTGGTTGGTTGGTTGGTTGGTTGGTTGTTTTTTTTTGTGAGGGAATGGCTGTAGCTGCTTAGCTCCTTTCCCTTGTTTCCTATCAGCACAATGTGGTCCAATGTGACCTCCAGTCACAGGTGGCAGCTCCAGCTCTTCTTCATCTGTTAACCTCTGTTTGATCTACTCTGTAGCTACGGTGAAAGGCAAGAGAAGCAGAGTTGAGTTAGATCAGCAACCAAATGGGACATGGTTGGAGTGCAGCTAGTAAAACTTGCCTGTCATTTGTACTGGTCTGTCAAGGCACTAAATGGTCCCGACTGTGCTTCATCTCTCTCTCCTGTAGACAGGGACCATAGAGGAGAAGATATTCCAACGCCAGACCCACAAGAAAGCCCTCAGCAGCTGTGTGGTGGATGAAGAGCAGGATGTAGAAAGGCACTTCTCCCTTGGGGAGCTGAAGGAGCTCTTCACGTTGAATGAGACCACCACCAGTGACACCCATGACAAGTGAGTACACTGAATTACTAATGGATGGAGTCAGCAAAACAGTCCTCCACAGTTTGGTCTGCTGATTCAGGGGTTCCTCAGGCAGCAGGAGGAAGCTTAAAGAGGGAGGACCTCAAGTGTCTCTGCTTCTGAGGCTGTTAACACCTGGAGATGAGCACCTCCTTGCTGGGCTCACTTTGTATTAGAAAACCTGTACTGACTGAACAGGTGAGCAAACTATCTTGTTGCTGCCTGTGTTTGGAGGCTGTGAAATACTGCAGCTGAGGAAGAGATATTAAAATCTGTTAAAATTAGAGCCCATCTTGGTCCTTCCTTGCCACTCTCCTCCTGATGGTTTGTGATCTCCAAATGCTGAGATGGTTCCACTGCCAGGACTGCTCCCTCTGCTACAAATTCATGAGGCCAACCCAAATGCTGTTGTGGTGACTAAAAGAAACCTTTTCACCATTTTTATGCCCTTCTCTCCCATTTCTGAGACCTGTGTTATTGTAGCCACCAGGAGGAAGACAGGGAGTGCAGGAAAATGCTTCACTGTAAAAGTTAAGACTCTTAGTTCAGGCAAGAAGTGAAGAGGATTAGTCTTAAGCTGACTCAGAGCTTAGCTCTGTGTGGGTATCTTGTCTGCATGGCAACAAGCTTTGCTGGCAGTGCTGCTGCTCTTTGTCTCCTTAGGTGGCAGCTCATTAGGGTCTCTCCAGAACAGCCTGAGCACGACCTTGTGGCTGTGGTGGGCACCAGGATGGAGCAGTTTGGGGCGTGGTGGGAACTTGGGAGGCCTGACGCAGTGCTAAGAATGTGTTGGCAGTGTGTTGGTGTTCACTCGATTTGCTCTAAGCAGCACCCCACACCTTTGAGGGGAGCTTCCTCTGGGTCCTGCTGGACTGTTCCCACAGGGCTAGACGTGGGGGGAGAGAGTGCCATCAGAAGAAACAGAACCCCGGGGTTTCCAGAATGTGGGAGTCCTGTCATACCTGCTGCAGATGCCAGGAGGCAGTCGTGTGTTTAAATGAAAGGTGGTAATCCATCCTGCCTGAAAACCTGGTTGCCAGGGGTGCAGCTGGGGCAGAGTTAATCCAAACGTTACTGGGCTGTATCTCCCCCGCGCGGGGGCGCCTTGCACTAACCTCGTCCTTGCTCTGCTCCAGGATCAAGTGTCGGCGCTGCGTGAACGGCCACCAGGTGCGGCCCCCGCCCGAGGGCTCCGACTGCACCTCTGACCTCTCCCAGTGGAACCACTGCGCCGACAAACGGGGGCTGCAGGACTCCGTGCTGAGGGCCGCCTGGGACGCTGCCGTCACCTTCGCCTTTCACCATCACTCCCACCAGGAGCAGCGGGGGATTCCCTGACAGGCTCCTGTTCCCTGGCGGGGCCAGGGCAGGCTGCCGGGGCCGCCCACCCCGCTGTAATCCCTTTCAGGGAAAGGGGCAGCGGGTAGCAGGACACGCTGGGCTGTTGTGTGGCTGAGGGACAGGAAGGCCCTTGGCGTTCTTCAGTCTACTGCAACAGCAAGGAGTCCAGGGCTTTTTCTCTGCTGTTGCATTGTGAGCGTGAAAACTCACCCTTTGGGAACTGGAAATAACAGGACCTTGTGTGCTTCATCAGATTCAGCAGTGGCTATTGTGCTGTTGGTGTCTGTGTCTTCTACTTTGCCAATTGTCTTCAGGTTTAAGCTAGGCCTGCTGTTTTGCAGCACGTCATGCGCAGTCATGTATTTTTCCTGACAGCCATGGCTTACAGCTGCTGATCAGAAACTTGCAGAATCTGTTTCTGTTGTGAAATACAAACCTTGCTGATTACTCAGAAAGAAAAGGACTTGCACAAGGGGAAAAAAAAAACAGCTCTTATGTTGAACATCTGTCCTGAAAGATCATGTAGGCCATAGGATATCAGGCTCTCTACTAAGGTAACTCCATTTCTAAAGCCACTTGCTGTGTTATGGGCAGGATCCCCTGATCTAGCAGAGTGTTTTATTTAGATCACATTACAAGCCAGTAATAAAATTCACACTTTTGTTACATGATGTAGTCTTTAATTATACTTTTATTATAAAAAAGTTACAAAAGAACAGACTGTTAAAACCCCTGTAAAATGATTGCAGACAGTGGAGAGGGGCAACAGGATTGCAAATAAACAGCAGGCTACTTGGTACATAAAGATTATTTTTATTTTATAAAGTAACATTTTCCAAATGTGTAAGGCTGAGGGCTGTTTTAGCTTGTTTTCTATTCTCTTCAAGAGAGGGGAGTTCTTTCACAGAATGGCTGAAGATGGAAGGGACCTCACCGTGCTCATGTCCAACACCCCTGCTCAAAAGTGAGGTCACCTAGAGCTGGTTGCCAAAGACCATAACCAGATGGCTTGAGACTCTCCAGCCACTGGCTGAAATAACATGAAGTTTGTAGCAAAACACCCAGCAAAATAAGTAACTGCCCAGCCAGAGATCTGCAGGAATTCACAGAAAGTTCACTTGACACCTGTCCCAGTTAAAATATTGAAACTGAGATGGTAAGAGCTAGATCACCTGGAAATACAGCTGTTGACTCACAGTCTTGTGTGTCACCTCAGTGTGGTACCCCTTCAAGTGAATAGGAAAGTGACAAGAACAACTGTACCCTGCTTGAACCAGAGGAAGAAAACCCCACCTGTGCTGTGACATAAATCTTACTGGCCAGGGACTGAACCACTTAGTTCAAGCTGATGGCTTTTCTCCTGCTCTTGTGTCCATCACATGACACTGATGTAGTCAGCAAAGGCCTGGGAGGAGTCCCACGAGTCGTTGACTACACTGCACACAGCTTTGAGACGCCGAAGGGCTTCTTGAGCTGTTTCAGCATCCTGGTCCAGCCAATTTTGGAAGAGGCGGAGATGTGTGAATTGAATCTGTCCCCCTCGCTGCTGGATGTGGCCTTCCAGCTTCTTTGTGAACTCCAGCAGCCCATCAGGTTTGATGCAATTGGAGCTTTCAAGGGAAAGGAGGACAAAAAAAAAGTCATTAAGAATCTAGGCTATCATTTGAGCATTTTAAATTACTGTTGCTTCTGGTAACTGCCAGTGCAGGTACTCGCAGATTTTTCAATGCAAAGTACAACTGTTCAGCAGTGAAAACTGAATGGACTTTAGTTTTGAGGGAAAACAAGACTGAAGCACAGTAACAAAAACAGCTGGAAGCTTTTTAAACCTGAGGTGGTATCCACTGACAAGTTAAAGTCCTTATCCTGGCCTCCTTACTGCTGACTTCAATCAGACCTAGCTGTGGCCTTAAAATGTCGCTGGTCCCAAGCTGCTGGCTAAGCAGTGTCTGGATCACTTCAGCTTCAGAGCAGCTGTCAAGCACCTGGCCCAAGGGACCTGGCCCAACACACAGGTCCTGGTGCCAGCCTCAACAGTAAGTGTTTATCTCTTCCTTCTGAGAAAAACGGGAGAGGATGTGTCAGTTCTGATGTTTCTAGGAGATTCAAAGTTCATTTCCCCTGCACAGGTGTGTAAATAAGTAAGTTCTGTGCTGGACTTGATCTTGTGAGAGGCACAGTAACAATCAGGGTTCAAGGACTGCTGAAAGAGTGGCCATGGTTAAATAAATTGTCAAGCCAGTGTACCCTGAGTGTCGCGAACCAACCTGAACTATTGAGATGTAAGGAAGTGAGAGGAGGGAAATAAGCAAAAAAGTCATCATTATTGCAGTAAATGCCACCCTCCATATGCTACATGAAGGTTACTGCCTATCTTTATGGCCATTCAGACTAAAGTAGAGACCAGCAGTTCAGGATGAAGACCAAAGATGATGAAAGGAATGCAGAGACAGTCCCAGGATGCTTTTAAGATGGAGCTTGACTTATAAAAGGGACAGTGAGATGCCTCAGAGATGCTGAAGGTCCCTGAGGTTGCATGTGCCCGTTGCAGTATTTCTCTAAGCTTTTCTTGAGCACATATTTCCTTGAGGAAGGAACAAAATCATGCTCGGGTTTTTCCTGCTGTCTGAGCCCTGTTTAGCTCTGGCCCTCCTGAAACAAGAAATTCAGTGTGTTCCGAGCAGCAGAATACCTGACATCCAGCTGGCAAAGAGAAGAGGAGGAATCTTCAGCGAAAATGTCTGCAAGGGCAACCAGCCTGTGATTCCCTAGGAAGGGAGAAATGCAGGTGTTAGATGGGAACCGTCTTATATATTTCAATGGTCACAGGGCTGGAATAACAGTGCAGGAAGGAGGCTGTAAGCACGTGTGTGCAGCACAAAGGGCTCCTCTCCGTACCCTCATTTTGTCCCCCACGTTGACCTAAAGTGAATTCATTCCACTGTGCACAGTGGCAATGGAAACATTTGCTGATGGGGCAGTTTGTTTCACTAGAAAAATCCTGGTTTTGTTTGAGAAGTCAAGATGCAGCTTTGTTTTAAAATTAGCCAATAGCAAAGGGTTAAACTCAGACCGCAGAAATGAGGTGCATTTCAGACTGAGTTTCCCATTTCATTAAAACAACAAACAAACAGTATTCTTGTTTTACCTGAAATTTATTTCTCTGCCATTTTTACTTGGCCTGTGATCCAAAAAGCCTATCATTTCTGTAAATTCAGTTCCATTTCTTTGACACAAACCCTTCCTTTACTTATCCCTATCCGTCCAGTGGCTGCAAACAGATTTTAAGGCACAGAATCCTCAAACTTAGGCAAAATTGGTGCCTCTGGATGAGAAGCACTGCCTCTGCTGCTGGATCCGTTCCTGTTAGAGCCTGAAGCAGATCAGTGTACAGTTGGATCTGGAGTCCCACTGATGCTTTTGCTGCAGAGAGATGCAACTGTAATGCCCACAGAGCACCTGGGCTCTTCGTACATCGCTGAAGGCAACTGAAATTCTGCCTGTAAAAAGTGAAAGTGGTGCTCCTTGTTTTGTGAACTAAATCCACTCTGCTGATGCATGTGTTAAGTTCAGCACTGAGGTCACCGGGTAGTCACGGTCCTAACTCCAACCCTGAAGTTATCTCCCAGAGCTGGTTTAAGGTCAAGGTCCCATAGCAACGTTCACTATACGCACCAAGGCGATTCCCAGGTAGCTTGAGGCTCTTCAAAGATGAATTTCTTTTCACTGTATTGACTATTTCCAACAAAAACTCGCTAGTAGAGCTTTCAAACAGTCGGCAGAAGGAAAAGGTGATTTCTACAAAGAAATGGGTTGAGGGTACATGTTAGTCCCTCCTCCATGCTTCATTATTCCACATTTACATCCTGCAGACAGCCCCAGCCCCTAATCCCTATGCAAGGACAAAGCTTCCTCCCCTGCAGTGGCCTGCACACAACATCATAGGAGCACAGCAGAGATCACACCTGGAGAAGAGGCTTCTCCAGCTGACCCAGGCTCTAATTCCTGATATGCTCTGCAGGTTAAAAACTTTGCTTTACATCCAAGACTATGGACTCGTCTCTGCAGCACACACCAGCTGATCCCCTCTGCCCTGCTGGCACAAAGAACCAGCCACGATCCCACCCTGCCAACAGCTACAGATCTGCTTTGTGGACAGAGACACTTGGCTGAGGCTTACACATCCAAAGATCACCTCTTAAACACCAACCAGCCACCTGCAGCACCTTTCCAGGCACCAGCACCCAGGAGTTTGCTGTACCTTGCAGGACAGGATCCTGAAGCAGAAGCAGAACTTCTTTCTGGTGTTCGGCCAGGTTCACATCATGAAAGCTCAGTTTCTTCAAATTTGGATTACACTCTAAATGCAAAACAAGTTCCCAGGTAAAGTGCTGTGTGTCCCTGAGATAAAAGACTGACTCACCCACTAGCTAACACCCCCAAATTGAGTTGGACTGTGGATAACTTTTGCTGGATTGTGAGTAATTAAAAAGAAGCCATCAACCATCCTGCTATGCAGGATCGTTCACATGCTCAGCACAGCAAGTGGGATGGCTGACACCCATTTTCTTTTCTCAGGAGACGTCAAGGATGTCCACACTGAGGAAATGGACCCTCCTACGCTGGCTTCATGCTAAAGGATGGAAGCCAACAGCAGGGAAGCTCCTGTGTCATAAGTGATGCTATCTATAGGTTAGCAGATACCTTTGAGTGTCTCCAAAAGGAACCCAAGTTCCTGAGAACAGGGCAGTGTGGCACTGTCAAGGGACAGCTGCTGGAGGGACTTTGATGCCTTGAGCACTGGCAGCAAGAAGGTGGTGTGCAGCGGTTCCCTGGGGAATCGGATCTCCAACTGCTCCAGGCAGCTCTCTAACGGAATAAAAACAAACAGCAAGGAAAGACCTTGGTCTGGAGTGCCTGTCTTCAGCACAGCCAGGTCCTACAGCAAGCAAGCAGTCCCTGTGCCTGACATGTCCATCATCTAGGCTGCCAGAAAGTGCCTATGCCTATAGCTCTGTGGCTACTAAGACCTATGGTAATGTAAAGTCATTTGAGGCTCATTTCAGGACTCCTGCCAGACCACAGGGCCACCAATTTCTACTCTGTTCTGGCAGCAAAAAACACTTTTTATGCACAAACCAGAGAGTGTCTTCCCAGAGCACAGCTCCTCGCTGGTCCCACTCCACACTCGCTCAGGGTTTTCTTGCTGCTTTCCTGGTCATTCAAGGGCTAATACAGGTAATGAGAGACCTGTGAGCTGAGAACATGCTGCTGCAGCTCCCAGACTGAGAGGCTTGGGCAGTGTTTTGCCATTGCCTCTAGTACTGCGATGACCAAGAAATGCCTTCCCTTTGCTTAAGGTTGTGTCTAAGGCTTGAAGCCCCACAGTCAACAGGATGGACAAGGCAGAAGCTCCCAAACAATCCACGCATCCAATGGGATACACATCTCATGGGCTACATGGCCAGTCCCTGCTAACAGGTTGTGACTCGCCCCCTACAGAGCAGACGTTGCAGCAGGTTGACATACAACAACAAAACGCTCTGTCCAAGACTCGGGTGTCACAGACTAGAAATGACAAGCAGCAACACCTAAATCAGGAAGATGAGGCTCGAACTGCTTAACTACACAACACTAACAGGGTGGAGTTCACATCTGCGTGCCACGTCCTGCTCACTGCTCAGAACGGCGATGGGTTCCTACCTGGGATTTCTGCCTCGCCGCAGCTCGCGCTGCCCTCTGGCCTGCTCCTGTCCGGCTGGCTTTTGAGGTCGAAGCTGACGGAGAGCGTGCGGAGCTGGGGACAGGCGCTCAGGACGCCGCGCACGAGCTCCACGCAGGGCACGTGGGAGAAGACGTCGCTGACGCGCAGCACGCGGAGCCGGCAGCCCGAGTGCCGGGAGAGGGCCCGGAGCCCAGAGAGGATGCAGGAGATGTTGGCACCCAGGCCTGGAGGGAACAGCATTGGAGCAGAAAGGTGTTAGCTGTGCCTGCATGGACACCGGTGCGCGTGCAGCTGGAGCTGCACCGGCGGCCACGCAGCCTTAGGCAAGGGCTAAACACACGGCTTCACCTGCACGTTCTTAAACTAGACCATGTATATGAGAGACCTGGAGATCCCTTCACCCTCTCTCAGGATGGCATTTAAGCACAAGGCTGGGGGCTGTTCTAGGGCAGAATGGCCCTGTTCTCTCCTTGAAACAAGTCCCCATGCTCATTAAGCATCCCTGCTGATGCTTTTCTCAAGATCAGGTAGCAATACTCTTACACGGCCCATCCCACAAAAATTAAAATTAAGGAAACTTGAGCAATAATTCAGAGCATTAGACTAAGGCTGGAAGGAAGCTACCTGTTCCCACCACTAACCATTGTATGACAGAACCAAGTTTTCTAAAGACACCCAGGAGCTCAGCAGGTTACTCAGAGTCCGACATGTCTCCCCAGTCAAGGGAATGGAGAACAATTCCAGTGTGGACACGCTTCGGAAGCGGTGAGGAGCCTTCAGAGAAGAGATCCCACCAGATTCTCCTCTCTTCTTACAGCCAGCATGGCCAGTGCATGGAGATCCTGGGGAGGAACTAGACCAAGTCTCAGTGTTTTCTCCCCTTGTGGCACTGTTTTTGTCAAGTAACCCTGAATTATCCTCTCTAGCAACAGTGAAAACAAAATCATATAGATCTTCTGGGTCAGCACATGCTGCCCTGCTTCGTCTGAGGCAGCGACGTTTCTTCCCTACCGCAGTTTTCAGCCGCCTGGGTGTCTTTCGAAGAACAGGGTGACAGGGCAGCTGGTCTGAGATGCTATGAGGAGGAGACCCTCCCTGAATATTGGCGTGGTCACAGGGCACCTTGCTGTCTGCCTCCTCACGTACTTGGTTATGCAGAGGAGGACTTCTTGATCTGGAGAGGGCAGAGTTCAAGCAAGCATCAGCCCCGTATCCATTCACGTCCATATCAGCCTCCTCCAGGGCTCTGGAGGATCCCTTTGGGTTCTCACCATCACTCCGCTCTGCTCGCTCCTGTGCCGCCTCCTGGCTTCGGGCCTCATGCTCCTCTCTGCAAAGGCCACACGGGCTGCTGTGATACACCAGGGCATTTCCCGAGCGCCAAAACCCAGCACTCGTGCTCAAAATGAGAACGAGAAGAACTGTGTCGGGAACAGGCCAGGAATACATGGACACCTGGCTGACAGAGCCATGGTGAATCAGCCGGTGAAGAAGGGAAACCAGCAAATGCCTGATGGACGGGTCAGAGGAGAGGAGGTGCTGGAACTTCAGGATCCGCAGGGAGCCAGCCAGGTTTTCAAGTACTTTCTGGTTGTGCTCAGCAGTGAGCTCCACCACGCCCTGCAGCATGTTGCAGAGGGTAAGCTGGGAAACGTGCGGGGAGCTGTGGAGCAGCGGAGAAAAGTGGCGGTCGTTGAGGCGCCAGTCAGAGGACACATCCAAGACACCGTGAAGAACATTCGAGAAGAATGTTTCAAGGAACTTCTTCCTCCAGCAGGTTATACTCTGCAGATAAACAACAGGGCCACATTAACAAACAGCCATGATTTTTTTAATTCTTTTTAAGTTAAATTACTGCTACCTGCCAAGCTGGTAAATGTGTTCAAAAGACTACAGCTAACGCAACTTGTGAGTAACTTCCTAGTTCTCAATGTCTTTCCTCAGTGTGTTTGCTCAAAACCAGTGTTACTCCCATTGCTTTCTCTATCCTACTTCTGGCCTAATTTCAACACGCTCAGTGGCCTGAAGCCATGCCGTGGCTTTGCCTATTAAAAGCCAAATCACTGGGAATTTTCTTCCCGTGTGTCTATTTCCAGGCTATGATTAAGCTGTTAATGATTCTTTTGTAACGCTGACCCCATGGAGCTGCTTCAGCTTTCCTATGTAAAACTATTCTGGCAAACTGTCTTCTCCCAAGTATTTTTCTAGTGCTTTCTAAAACATCAGCATGTTTGGGTTTTTTTTGCCAGTGTACGTGTAAGCAGGGTATAAGACTGGTTTTTATCCTCCGTGTCCCTAAGAACTATATCTCTAAAGCCAGGATTTATTCTTTTGGCAAACTTGCTGCTGTGAGATGAAGGGTGTGGCTGTACGCTACGGCTGCTTTTGTGAACCTCGTTTCCCAAAATGGTTGTGCTACCAGGGTCTGAAGCTCTACAAACACCTGTAAACAAGCGGCAGCAATCACTCGGAGTTGGCCAGCAGCGTCGGCAGGCTCAGAAACAAAATCTCACAGAGGACAGCAGAAACAGGGTGCCTGTGCCGGGCCCCTTCTCCCGCCGGAAGCATCTGCTCACCTCCGAGTTGGGCGGCCTGGTTTTCATCACATCGTCCCACAGCTTGCGCCAGATGGGCTGTGTCGAGAGGCCTGCGGCAAAAAAATAATCAACCAGGATTATTAATCAACTGCACCCCGACCTGGAGCTCGCAGGGGCACTGGGCAGACAAAGGGCAGCACCAGGGAACACAGACCAGACCCCTGCAGCAAAAGGAGGGTGCTCTGCAGCGAGGAGAAGACCACCAGCTTTTAAGGGATGCAAGTTAAAAATTAGCGGGTTTTGTCAGTCTTCAGTAAGAGCCAAGTTACAGCAGGAACTGCACCGCTGTGAGAGCCCTGCCCGGGTATGAGATGGGGCTGGAGGTTTTGGGTGCAGGAGTGTCCCGGTCCTGGTGGCAGGGACTGTGCTGTCAAGGGATCCCCACAGAGGTTCACTCCTCTGGCCCAGGGCTCCCAGCTCGGAGGAGTTCCCCCTCCAGCGGGGGTCTGTCAGTGTGGGGCTCTCCCCTCCAGGCCGGGGACATGCCCGCGGTGTGCGTGGGGGGATCTGCCCACCCCATTAGTGTAGGGCTCATCCCTCCCTCCCGGGGCCATCTGTCGCCGTCCCTGCGGAGTCACCTGCTCTCC